AATTCCCTTTTTCTGGTTCACCCCCTTGTTTTAGATGACTTACAGTTCTTCACTTTGTCCCCAGCCTTCTGCGCTCTCACCATGATGGCCTGGCCGTGGTTCATTGTCAGCCATCTGGTGGGCCTCCCAAGGACCCTTTCGATCTAGACTCACATGTCTTTCCATTCTAAGATATTTTCTTTTCTTTCTTTTTTTAATTTACTTTTTATTTTTTTAAAGATTTTATTTATTTATTTGACAGAGAGAGACAGCGAGAGAGAGAACACAAGCAGGGGGAGTGGGAGAGGGAGAAGCAGGCTCCCCGCGGAGCAGGGAGCCTGATGCGGGGCTCGATCCCAGAACCCTGGGATCACGACCTGAGCCGAAGGCAGACGCTTAACGACTGAGCCACCCAGGCGCCCCTCTAAGATATTTTCTTGAGCTATTGCTTTGGTTTTTCTCCACTCTGTTTTCTCTTTCTGGAACATGACGTTTTTATACCTTTGATTTTTTTTTTTTTTTTTTGGCTGTTCATCCTTTAAAAAAAATCTTTTCCCGGGGCACCTGAGTGGCTCAGTCAGTTAAGCGTCTGCCTTCGGCTCAGGTCATGATCCCAGGGTCCTGGGATCGAGCCCTGTGTCAGGCTCCCTGCTCAGTGGGGAGTCTGCTTCTCCCTCTCCCCTCCACTCATGCTCTCACTTTCTCAAATAAATAAATTAAAAATAATAATAATAAAAAAATTAAAAAATATTTTTCCTCCACTTTTTCTTTTCTTCCTCTTTTTGTTCTACCTTCTGGAAGATGTTAACTTCATTGTTCAATTTTTTCTGTAGTTTTTCATTTTTCCTATCCATCATTTGTGCCGAGTTAGTTTTCACTCTTTGACTATTCTTTATAACATCCTGTCCTTGTTTCATGGGTATGATATCTTCTCTTACGTCTCTGATACTAATATATTAAATGGAGTTTTCATCTCTCTCCCATTCTCTTTCCTCCAAGATACTTTTTGCTCTGTCAGAAAATAGCATACTTCAAATGTAGCGGCTCCTGGATGTCTACCTATATTTAAGAGCGGGGTAGGGGCGCCTGGGTGGCTCATTCCTTTAGAAGCCTCTGCCTTCAACTCAGGTCATGATCTCAGGGTCGGGATCCCTGCTGAGCAGGGAGCCTGCTTCTCCTCCTCCCACTCTGATCTCTGTTGCTGTCTCCGTCTCTTTCTCTCAAATGAGTAAATAAAATATTAAAAAAAAAAAAGAGGGGTGCCTGGGTGGCTCAGTTGTTAAGCGTCTGCCTTCGGCTCAGGTCATGATCCCGGGGTCCTGGGATCGAGCCCCGCATTGGGCTCCCCGCTCAGCAGGAAGCCTGCTTCTCCCTCTCCCGCTCCCCCTGCTTGTGTTCCTGCTCTCGCTGTGTCTCTCTGTCAAATAAATAAATAAAATCTTAAAAAAAAAAAAAAAGAGTGGGATAATAAAAGAATGCTATAAGCCCTGTGTATGTGGGGGAAGGGTGGTTGTTGGCCATCCCTTGTGCTATAAAGTGATCTGGTAAGTCTCTGTCAGTATCTTTAGGGCTATTATCAGTGGCTGGTGAAAGCCCCAGGGGAGGCTTTTCCCTTTTCTTCACTGTGGGTATGAAACTGGTTGTTGATGTCTGAGAGACTAGTAGGGGAAAAGTCTTGTTAAGTGTGCAAAATTTCAGTATTATCTTCATTTTTAGTAGGGTACGCCATCCTTAACTAAGCTAGAAACTGTTTCTCTCCCCCCAAAGAAATCTGCAGTGCTCTGCTAAAGAGAGTTCAGAAAGAATATCTGTAGCTCTAGGGGTTTTGTTTTTTTTGTTTAAATGGTTTAGTTTGGAAGCGCCTGACTGGCTCAGTCAGTAGGACATGTGAGTCTTGATCTAGGGATTGAGGGTTCAAGCCCCATGTTGGGTGTAGAGATTACTTAAAAAAATAAAATCTTAAGGGGCACCTGGGTGGTGCAGTCGGTTAAGCATCCGACTCTTAACTTCAGCTCAGGTCATGATCTCAGGGTCGTGAGATCAAGCCCTACATGGGGCTCCATGCTGATCGTGGAGCCGGTCTAAGATTCTCTCTCTCTCCCTCTGCCTCCTCTTCCACCTCTTGTGCTCTCTCTCTCCCTAAAAAAAAAAAAAAGAGAGAGAGAGAGAGAGAAAGAAATATTTTCATGTGTATTATTTAACACACACAAACTTACTTGGTAAAAAACTTAGTAGGAAGTACATGTTATTCTTCCCTTATTGCAGATAAAGGCATCAAGCTCATAGATCTTGGGAATTTTTTTTCAAAATCACGCAGCAATTCCTTGAAAGAGCTAATTTTTTGCTTCCTGAAAAACTTTGGCTATTAAAAGCACAAGCTCCCAGTATCTAGAAAAATCATCTTATACCCGGTAATATCTGTTCCTGTGTCCCATCTTTGCGAATTGGGCTCTCCTCCAGGGATCTGCCCTTCTGTCTTGAGGGGTGCTCTCCCACACCAGTGGCTCCCCACCACCTTGAAGACCTCTGTTTCCTTGCTACCAGGGAAGGCTGTAGGTGGAAAGTGCAGGTCCAGCTGTGTGACCTTGGGCAAGTCACCAACCTCCATCCAGGTGCTTCAGTGCACTCACTGGTCAAGGAGAGCTAGCAATAGTCCCTACCTTATAAGATCACTGCAAGGATTAAATTAGTAAATATATATATAATTCTCAATAAATTTTAGCTATTATTATTTCATTTTTTTAAACTCTGGGGTCAGAGAACCTTATTTATCTTCTCTTGAAGTGGTATTTCCAGCACTTCAAAAACTTCCACCATAGGTAGCTCTCCTATAGTTTGCTGTAGGTTATATACAGCAACGGCATATAATTCATGGCATTGATGGGAGAAAGCACTGTTCTAATGAAAATACCTCTCAAATATTTTTGTAGCCATACACCATCTTTAATTCTGAAAACCTCTCCTTGTCTCCAGTTTTGGGGGCATAACCCGCCTGTCCTATCAGACTTCATTCCATTTAGGTTAAGCTTTGAAATCACTAAAAGACACATTGGTTCCCTTTTTCTACCCTGTAGATTTTTTAGATTCTGAAACAGGGCCAGTTCTGCTTTTGATGGTTGTCTTCAATAAAGCATAAAAAGCAGAGCCCTGTTCCATATTTTACAGTCTCTGCAGTTGGCAGAATATCCTTCCAGAACGGCCTCACCCTTTTACACCACGGCTTGCTGTTGTCAGACGGCATACCTCTTCTGCTAGACGTGCTTACTGCCACACCCCTGAGGAGGCTGATGGCTCCGAAGGCCAAGAGGTTTGCAGGTCCTGCTGAGTCTCCTGGGTCTGACCCTGCTTCGCTTCAATGTTTCTGATCCTGGTGTGCGCCCCCAGCCATTCTCCCTCTGCTTCTGTCTCAACATCTGGGTCCTCCACTCCCCTGGCCCAAGTAGCTTCTGCCTGAGGCAATAACTCCAGCCTCAAGACCCACAGGCCTCCCCTGGCTCTGCACTTCCCGGCCAAGTCATGAGCCAGAGTCTCTAGAGCCAGTCCTTTGCGATGTGAACATTAGCTCTTACTTTTAACCAAAGCTTTTGGAAAGAAAAGCTCTACCTTTAGCTCTAGTATCTTAAAAAATCTCCTAACGATTTATGTTCAAAATTGGTGATTTTTCCCTTCCTACCCTTCTGTAGGTCGATTCAGTCTGTCTTTGCGCCTTGTTTGTTTCTTCTGATTGCACAGACTTGTAAAAAAAATTAATCTTGAACTTGTGATGAGGGAATTGCTAGTTCCTCTGTATTTTCACTTTTGGATTTCTTCTTGTTTATGAAACGGGTGACCTTTTTACTTTTTGGAGAAGATGATGACACGGGGCCCCAAGGTTCCAGATGTTTAGGAACAGCAGAAGTGGAAGTGCTGGGGGGTTTGTGGGTGGCTCTGGGGCAGAAGGCCTTGAGAGGGTCCTGGGAAGGAGGGGTACTCGGCAAGTATGTGGAGCAGGCGGGCGTGTATCGCAGAAGTCACTGGTACGGTCTCACACGACTTGGACGATATGTCACAATAGTTATTTCTGATAGTAGTAATGGCTGCTATTTCTTGAGAACTTACTATGAACCGGGGACTTTGCATACATTCTCACAGTGGACCCTGTGTCGTCATTGCTTTTAGACCTCCATTTTCAGATGAGGACTCCAAAGTATAGAGAGTTTAAATAACACAGCTAAGGCCACACAGCTGCAAAAGGCCAGGCCAGGGTGCAAAGGTAGGCCTGACTCCAGCGTCTGGGTATCAGGGCCTGGTCCCACTCTGCTCTTCCTCTGGAGCCTTCTGCCTCTTGCCTTCTTGCCCGTCCTCCCTGCCCCCTTGCTCTTGCCTCACACCTCCCTACTTCCTCAACTGTCCTGCCCCCAGATCTGTGTATTTTCCCCCTAAATCATTTACCTTCTTTTATATCTACCTTTTCATCCTCTGTTCAGAAGGTTGCCCCACAATTCACAATCACATTTGGAGGAAAGCTATGATTCCCAAAGTTCATGAGCAGATTTTGGAGTGCCTCCACATGGTGCTTGTTGTCTAAAACTATGCTCTGGACCCTACAAAGACACCTCAAAAACAAACACACACACACACATATCCTCCCCCCAAACATACAGAAGCCCACACATGCGTGTAAACTCACAAAGACACGTAGACACACACGAACATGCATATAACTTCCTCACAGACACATACACAACCCCCCCCACACGCACACCCACGTAAAGATGTACATAACCCCCACACAAATGCACATGACCACATACAAACACACACACAAATCACCGCACGAGCACACAAGCGTGCACACAGGCACACACACATGTGAACCCCTACTCTCAGGCCCACTTGCTGCCTCGGCTCTGCCAGACCCTGTCTTCCTTGCCTCTCCTTGGAGGCCCTGAGCAACATGAGGCTGGGAGGAAGTGAAACCTGCCCTGACAGGAAGTGAAAACGGGATGGTGAGCTTTTCTGGCGCTTCTGACCCAGCTGTCGGGGGACTCGGCGAACAGTCTGCAGTTTCTGGAGCTGCTCTGAGGTACCTGGGATCCCCTGGGCTGGGAGTCTAGCTCCTGAGGTTATGGTAGGTAGCTGGGACGCCGGCACTTGGGCTCTGTTTACCTGCTGGCAGCCCTCCCTGCCCCCCACCTGAAGCAGGTTTGTGCCTTCCAGTGGGGAGGAAGTGCATAGCCTTGCTCCACAACAGGCTTTTGAAAATGGTCGTGGACCCAAGGACATTGGCTCAGAGTTACAGGTGCACATGGTCTGCTTCTTTGTTCTTACTCTGGGACCAAACTAGAGAGTCTTCATGCACCCTCTTTCAAAAGTAAAAGACAGGGGCACCTGGGTGGCGCAGTCGTTAAGCGTCTGCTTTCGGCTTGGGTCGTGATTCCAGGGTCCTGGGATCGAGGGCATCGGGCTCCCTGCTTGGCGGGTTGCCTGCTCCTCCCTCTCCCACTCCCCCTGCTTGTGTTCCCTCTCTCGCTGTGTCGCTCTCTGTCAAATAAATAAATAAATAATCTTAAAAAAAAATAAAAGTAAAAGACACTTTTCACGAGGAAAGAGATGAAGTAAGTTTAGCAACAAGTGTTATAGGGATTATTTTTCCTCATGCTCAGCCAGCTTTGGCCAGGACCGGTGTTAGATAAACTTTTGTCTGTCAGACCAGGGAAAGTCCCTAGATGCTGGGCCACACAACTACTTCTGGGGTCTGTGGGGAGGAGAGGGTGGAGATTGTGGAACTTAGTGGCTTCTGCTATGTGTGAGTAAGGAGAGAGGGACAAGGGGCTGGGGCCATTGATTGGAGGATGCAGCATGGGATGGGTGGGAAGGTGACATAAATGTCACTCTCCTCTTTTAGCTGTTGGCAAACACTGTAGTCTGAAGAGAGATTCGAAGCCTTGATGAAGTTGCAGGGGTTTTTCAAAAGTCCAACTCTCTGATTAGGAAGGTACAGCCCCTACCATAGCTGTGGTATTAGAGTAAATAGTATCCAGTTCCTTCTGAAAATTCCCTCTTGGTATCTGATGTAGCTTGGAATAATTGAATGTTAGCCCTGGAAAGAACCTGGGATATATTGTGTTCCAATGATTAGCAAGCTTTTCACCTTTGTCATATCCCTGCATCTCTATTTACTTAATATCTTTCTTTAAAAAAAAATTATTTATTTATTTATTTGAGAGAAGGAGTGAGCCAGAGAGAGAGAGAGAGAGAGCACAAACAGGGGGAGAAGGAGAGGGAGAAGCAGACTCCCCACTGAGCAGGGAGGCTGACATGGGGCTCCATCCCAGGACCCTGAGATCATGACCTGAGCCAAAAGCAGACGCTTAACTGACTGAGCCACCTAGGCACCCCTACTCAATATCTTTCTTTCAATTAACTTATTTTTAAATTTCTTTATTCAACCTAAACATTGGTATCTTGTATCACTGATGATACCTGTATCACACTTTGAGGGCCACTGATCTAGTGTAATTCATCTTTTTCACAGGTGAGAAAATTGAGACCCATCAATATTAAGCAGTTTGCCCAAGGTCTCATGGTTAAAGACATACTAATTTGGGACTGACCTTGAGGTCTTCCAATTTATAGCCTTAATTCTTTCCAGGATACCGTATCATACTTTCAGGTATGCAGAAACAATTCCTTTATATATTTTATATATATATAAGTATATATATATATATATATATATGTTTAAGTACTCTCTACACCCAACATGGGGCTCAAACTCACAACCCTGAGATCAAGAGTCACACGCTCCTCTCACTGAGCCAGCCAGGCGCCCTGTAATTCTTAAATGTGATTCAAATAAATGACCTAACAAAGTCCTAATGTAGTGCCTGGCATGAGGAAACCCAATAAAGGCAAGTTTCTTTCTTTCTGCCCTTAAATCTTTGCTCACTGCTAACCTGGACTAGCTGCTCTCTAGAAGCTTTTAGCATCTTTTAGTGCTAATGTTCTGAAATATCAAGATGATATATCTTGGTGTGGCCATTGAGCAATTGTTGTGCTATGCTAGGAACTCAACAAGCCTCATTAAACCAGGGATTCAGGTCTTCTTTTGTGGCCCAATTTCTTCTATTATTTATTTACTTTTTTTCTCTTCTTTTTTCTTTTTCCTTCTAATATGTCTGTTATTTGGGGTTGGGTTTCCTGAGCCAATAATCCTATCATTTGTTTCTCTCTTATTTTGTCCTAATTTCTTTTTTTTTTTAAAGATTTTATTTATTTATTTATTTGAGAGAGAGAGAATGAGAGAGATAGAGAGCAGCACGAGAGGGAAGAGGGTCAGAGGGAGAAGCAGACTCCCTGCCGAGCAGGGAGCCCGATGTGGGACTCGATCCCGGAACTCCAGGATCATGACCTGAGCCGAAGTCAGTCACTTAACCAACTGAGCCACCCAGGCGCCCTTTAAATGATTTTTAAAATTTATTTGTTGGAGAGAGAGCACAAGAGAGCACAAGCAGGGGGAGCGACAGGCAGAGGGAGAAGTAGGCTGCCCACTGAGCAGGGAGCCCGATGTGGGACTCAGTCCCAGACCCTGGGATCATGACCTGAGCCGAAGGCAGACGCTTAACCGACTGAGCCACCCAGGTGTCCTAGGAGAGAGAATCTTAAGCAGATTCCTTACTGAGCGTGGAGCCCGTTGTAGGGCTCATTCTCACAACCCTGAGACCATGACTGAGCCAAAACCAAGAGTCGGACACTCAACCAACTGTGCCACCCAGGTGCCCCTCAGCTTTTGTATTTTTTTCTTTAAATTTTTTATTGTTATGTTAATCATACATTACATCATTAGTTTTTTTTAAGATTTTTTATTTATTTATTTGAGAGAGAGAGAGAATGAGAGGTAGAGAGCATGAGAGGGAAGAGGGTCAGAGGGAGAAGCAGACTCCCTGCTGAGCAGGGAGCCCGATGTGGGACTCGATCCCAGGACTCCAGGATCATGACCTGAGCCGAAGGCAGTCGCTTAACCAACTGAGCCACCCAGGCACCCTACATCATTAGTTTTTGATGTAGTGTTCCATGATTCATTGTTTGTGTATAACACCCAGTGCTCCACGCAGAACGTGCCCTCTTTAATACCCATCACCATGTATTTTTAATTTCTAAAAGCTCTTTCTCATTCTATTTTTTAATTTATTTAATTTATTTTTTTTATTTTTTGAGAGAGAGAGTGAGAGCACAAGCAGGGAGAGCAGCAGAGGGAGAGGGAGAAGCAGGCTCCCCGCTGAGCAGGGAGCTGCACTTGGGGCTCGATCCCAGGACCCTGGGCTCATGACCTGCGGGGAAGGCAGACGCTTAACTGACTGAGCCACTCAGGTGCCCCTATTTTTTTTTAATTTTTAGGTCATCTCTACACCCAATGTGGGGCTTGAACTCACAGCCCTGAGACCAAGAGTTGCATGCTCTACAGACTGAGCCAGCCGGCCAAAATATAAAAAATTATATATATTTTTATAATTCCCTGTAGTTGTTTTATGGACACAGTATCTTTTCGTATCCTTCTTAGGATATTAAGTATGGCTTTTTTGAATTTTTCTTTTATTTCCTGCATTGTCTCTCTTTCCCTTTGTTTCCTTCTCTCTGTGTTTTTTTTCTTAAGTTTCTTTACCATGTTGGAGGCTTTCTTTATATGCTTTGTGATCTGTTGCTCTCTGACGATATTTAAAAGTGAAACACTGAAAATCTGATTGCAGTGTCCTCCTCTATGTGTGAACAGGGCTCCCTAACTGAAAAGCTCCACTTTTTTCAAGGACGGCTCATGGTGACTTATTCTTTGGGAAACCCCTTCCTGTCTGTACCCGGAGGTCTTTTCTCTGCGGGCTTGGAGAATCCTTCAGTATGCTGCCTCCTGGTATTCTGAGAACAGAGTGGGAGAAGGAAAATCAGAATTTGACATTTAAATCTGTAGATTTTCACTGACGTACTCCCTTCTTTAGCCCTGTTGGGTTTCTATCTGAGCAATTTCCTCTTCCAGGCATCCCAATGTCCGTGGGTGGCTCGCCAGGGCGGCCAGCCCTGCTCTCCCTGCTTTTGGTGGCAGCGATGCCTTTCTCCTGCTCAGCCGTATCCACAGATGAAGCGCGGGTGCAGCTGTTGATGAGAGAGAAGATGATGCAGCTGGGGGGGCAGCTGGTGCTGACCGAGCAGGAGGAGCTGGCCAACGGGAGGCTCATGGCCCTCAAAAAGGCCGAGGTGGCACAGGCCATGAAGAGCCAGAATTTCCCTCCCAGCATGCACTTCTTCCAGGCCAAGGATCTCATCGAGAAAAGTGAGGTGTTTAATCTCCTGAAGAAGATGCCAAAAGGTAGAGGCTTGGAGAGGGTGGTTTGGGGGTGCTGGGCAGGTAGGGGGAACGAAACTTGGAGCTAGCATTGTTACTGGAGCTGTTGTTCTAAAGGGAGCTGTGAGGAGCACGCGGCTGGCTCAGCCCGTAGAGCGTGTGACTCTTGATCTCAGGGTTGTGAGTTCAAGCCCCACATTGCGTGTGGAGCCTACTTTAAAAAATAATGATAAATAAAATAAAAATAAATAAATGGAGCGGCGAGAACCCCACTCTGCACCTTTGTTCTTCCTTGGCAAACTGGGAAGGGCGTGGTCCAAAGTGGCTGCTGGTTTGCCCTGGAAACCAAAAGCCCTGCTTGGGAGGGGACTCTGCCTCAGAGACAGGAGGGAGTGGGGGCTGGGCATTACCGTCTTCCCTGACGAAGCGGATGCATCCGCACGCGAGGGAGTATCTGGGCCCAATAGGACCCACTGCTCCCTTCACGTCTTTTCTCGCATCTGCCTCTTCTGCCCTTTCTCAGTGGCTAAGGTACCCAACAGGGTATGGTATGAACGAGCATTTCTAGTATGGTATGTCTATAGTATATTTACATTTCTTTTTTTTTGTTTGTTTTAAGATTTTATTTATTTGAGAAAAATAAGATTTTATTTATTTGTGCACATGAGAGAGCACAGGCAGTGGAGAGGAAGAAGCAGGCTGCCCATCAAGCAGGGAACGTGATGCGGGGCTCGATCCCAGGACCCTGGGATCATGACCTGAGCCGAAGGCAGATGCTTAATCAACTGAGCCACCCAGGCATCCCAGTATATTTACATTTCTATGAATAATAAAATAATTACAATCCTGCACATGCAAATAGCAGTTTGCAGCTTACAAGGACTTTTCTTTTTTTAAAGATTTGTTTAGGTATGCCTGGGTGGCTCAGTCGTTAAGCATCTGCCTTCAGCTCAGTTCATGATCCCAGGGTCCTGGGATTGATCACCTCATTGGGATCCCTGCTCAGCAGGGAGTCTGCCTGTCCCTCTCCCTTTGCCCCCCACCCCCCGCTCGCTTGTGCGCGCATGTTCTCTCTCTCTGTCTCAAATAAATAAATGAATCTTTGTTTGTTTATTTGAAAGGGAGAGCACACACACATGTGTATGAGTGGGGAAGGGGCAGAGGGAGAGAATCCCAAGCAGACTCCGTGCTGAGCACAGAGCCCAATGTAGGGCTCCATCTCACCACCCCATGATATCATGACCTGAGCTGAAACCAAGAGTTGGACGCTTAACCAGCTGAGCCATCCGGACACCCCAAGGGCTTTTCTATACCTCTTTTATTTTAATGTTAGAAATAAACAGACTAAACAAAAAAACTGTCAAGTTGGTAAAGTAACCTCTCCACTTGATGGAGAACAGAAGGCTGAGGCAGGGTGACCTGCCAAAGCTCACACAGCTGGGACCCCTAAGCAGCCAGTGTCAAGGCCAGGTGCTAAGATGGGGCAAGAAGAGCAGAGTGACGATGGATACTGTGCCTTGGGGAGCTCGGTAGTTGACACTGGTGTCAGGTCGGAAAGAAGCACGGGGCATGGCAGGCAAACCTGCGGGCCAGAAGCTGCCTAGACGCTGGCCAGAAGCAGGGAATGCAAAGGCAGTGTGTCGGGCGTTGGGGAGCAGGCTCAGAGGATCAGGACCAGGCTGGGGGCAGGCGCTGAGGCTCCTTCCTGTTGCAGCCCTCACGCAGTGCTGGGTGGTGAGATGCAGCCCAACTTGAACCCCAGTCTTCTGAATCCAAGCTCGAGGCTCCCCCGCCCCATCAGGCTGCCTCTCTTGAACGAGGTCACCATGCTTCTGACTAGCGAGTGAAGCTCCCTTCTGACACCAGAGCAGGGAAGGCTTTGGCCAGCCCGGGAAGACAAAGGCACACGGAAGCCTGGAAGGTCTTTGCGCCAGAGTGGGGATCCTGTGTCATGGGCATTTCCAAGGAACTCCACCAGATAGACATCCTCGTGCTTCTCACTTCTTGTCCAGCTGCTGTGCTCGGCCCCGTGCCCTTGGAATGTGGACTTCAGCCCTTTCGCCTCACTGTCACCCCGTCCTTCTTCCCTCTCCAGGGGCTGCCTTACATGTCCATGACTTCGGCGTCCTGAGCATGAACTGGCTGGTGAAAAATGTCACCTACAGGCCCCACTGCCACTTCTGTATCACCCCGAAGGGGGCCCTGAAGTTCAAATTTGCTTATCCAGCACCCCCCACCCCAATGCCAGCAGAGTGTTCAAAGTGGGTTTTGCTGGAGAAATATCGAAAGGAGATCCAGAACGTCACTGAGTTTGACAACGGGTGAGTGCTTGGGAAAGAATGTGTCCCGCCCGTCCCAAGTAGCGGGCGGTGTGCGGGTGTGTCTTCCTCGGTGCAAACCCGTATGTGCAAACCTGGCCTTAAAAAAAATCAGGAGGCTTTTTCTTTTAACTTTACAAGATACTCTGCTTCACAGAAGCATTCAAATAGCAAGTTCCCGGTTCATTTAAAATCCAATTTGATCTGTAAGAGGTATTAACAGTAACACTGTTGGGCGCCTGGGTGGCTCAGTTGGTTAAAGCAACTGCCTTCGGCTCAGGTCATGATCCTGGGGTCCTGGGATCGAGTCCCACATCGGGCTCCCTGCTCAGCGGGGAGTCTGCTTCTCCCTCTGACCCTCCCCCCTCTCATGTGCTCTCTCTCCCCCTCTCTCTCTCTCTCATTCTCTCTGTCTAAAATAAATAAAATCTTTAAAAAAACAACAACAACAAAAAACAGTAACACTGTTGTTGCATCAGATGAAATTTGTCTAAATGCTTAATATCAGAAAGATGAAAAGCCCAGCTCCTGGAATAATGACAGTGCGTTTGTGAGGGAACACCTTGAAAATGTGATAGAGCAACTTCCTAACACACTTGTAAAGCGACATTATAAGTAATAACTGTTTTCATCATAGAACCATCTATAGAGTGCTTTTGTGAGCTTACTGCCCTTTACGAATAAGAAACGTGAAGCTCAGCATGGTTAAGGAAGCTGACCAAGGCCACACAGCTAGTATGTGGCTACTCAGGGGCGAAGCCTGGGTCATGTAGTCCCTGTATTTCCATCATACCTCCTGTACTAGCTTGCTGGGGCTGCCATAACAGAATACTACAGACCAGGTGGCTTAAACAACAGAAATTTATTTTCTCACCGGTTTGGAAGCTAGACGTTCAAGATCAAGATCCTGGCAAGTTTGGTCTCTCCTGAGGCCTCTGTCCTTGGCTTACAGACTGCTGTCTGTCCTCACATGGCCTTTCCTCCGCGTGTGTGTGTGTGTGTGCGCGCGTGCACGCGCGCACACGCGCTCGCGTGCGCGCTCCTGATGTCCCTGACACCAGTCCTATTCTATGTGGGCCCCACCCTTGTGACCTCATTTAACCTTAATTACCACCAGAAAGGCCCTATCTCCAAATAGAGTCATATTGAGGGTGAGGACTTCAACATACGGATTTTAGGGGGATACAGTTTGGTGCATAATGCCCCTCGAAGAGAGCTTGGTCTAGGATGTAAGTACAATGGGGCCAGACTGGCTAAGCATATAGAGGGGAGTAGGAGATCCTGGCTGGTGGGAACATCCCACCTGAGCTGGGTCCTGAGGAGCACAAAGTGGGTCTCACGGAGGGGCCTCCACCAGAGAATCCAGTGTGCTTACCCTGGCTTCTCATCATTGTTCACTATGATGCATCTGGGTTTGCTTCTGGCAGGAGAAGCAAGGTGGGCAGGAATCCTGCCGGCACCTGAAGGTGATGGCTTGAAACACACCTCAATTTACCCGCTTTGTGTCCTGGACAGACTGCTAAAGAATTTCACTCTGATGACTGAGAACCCCGACGTGGACTATGCAAACCAAAATATCGTCTGGTCCAAGTTTCAAACGATCTTCTTCACAATCTCTGGCCTTGTCCACTATGCACCAGTGTTCAGAGACTATGTCTTCCAGGCCCTGGAGGAGTTCTACCAGGACAATGTGCTCTACCTGGAGCTCAGAGCCATGCTGTTCCCGGTGAGCCCACCTCTTTCCTCTGCTCTGGCTTGACTTTCAGATCTCACGCTGTAGGTCCTCACAGGCTTCCCACCCTTGTACTGGTATAGGATTGGATGCTGGTTTTATCCCAAATGGGACATGTGTCTTTCCAGGGGCCCCCATGAGCAAGGGAACCTGCACTACACTTGGCTGGTCCCTGCAAAACTGAACATCCACCTTGTACCCCCTTCTCTCATGACCCCCACTTCTCACCTCCTGGGTATACCGTGCCTCCTGGATGCTCAGGGTTCCCTGGCCTTGGACCCTGAGCAGTGCCTCATGCCTGGACCTTTCTTGACCTGTCTCCTTTCATATCAAAATTTAGCTTCCCAGAATCTCTCAAGACTGTGCTCTTGATCCTGGGACAGCTGATGGTTCTGGCGAATGGATCACCCTGGTAGCACTGGGGAGAATGGACTGCAGTGTGAGGGTTGCCCGGTGAGTGAGGTGGGGACAGAGGCTGGGAGAGCAGGGAAAAGCAGGTGTGAAATGACAAGGCCGGGGGGACAAGAGCAACGAGGAGGAGGAGATGTGCAGTGTGCTGAAGGAGGACTCTAGAGGTCTTCCTGACTGACCATGTGGGGTTGAGGACTCTATGGTGACCAGCTGGCGTTGGACTTGAGTTGACTGGTGGTGACATTGACGGAGATGGGGAAGTAAGAGGAGGAGCAGGATGGGGAGGGAGAATAGAAATTTTGGTTTTGAACCTGTAGAGTTGGAGGTGTCTGTGAGACAGCCCTACGAAGATGTCTAGGAAGTGGTTGAATACGTGGCTTTGGAGCCCAGAGGACAGTTCTAGCCTGGGAACAGATGTTTGACATCTGTCTGCAGAATGTCGAATCCTTAAAACTGTCAGAGGGATGAGGTTCCCACAGAAGCTGTGAGTTGAAAAGAGGAGCGGGCCAAGAAAGGGGCCCTGCAAACAGAAATAGGATAGAAAATTCACAAAATGGGCTGAGGAGGAGCCATTATAGAAGGAGAAAGTGAGGATGGTCTCCCATTTAGGGGACGCCTTATTGAGGAGAGAGCCCCAGGTGAGCAGATACTTCTGGACCATTCCTTTGGGATGTCTGTTGGACAGAACTTCCCTGAAGTTTTGTGGGAGGGATTTGGGTGTTGTGGGAGTGGGCAGGATTTCTGAATGTTCCATTTGGTGGGCTGACAAAGAGTTTGAGCTGGTTAAAGATTTTGAGTGGCTTGGAGAACATGACATTTGTGTAGAGCTCTCCCCTATATTGTATCCTAACTAGTCTGCTTATTCACTGAAGTATTTGTTGAGCATACAAATGCCTTGGTGAGTGACCTTCAAGTTTGTGGCAAGGCCCACAGGGTGGCATCATTTTGGCTTTGTTACCATATTCCATGGTTTTTATAGGCTCAGAAATGTTATTCTTTGTACACTCAGAAGTGATAGAACTCCAGAGGACCGAAACATATTGACCAAATTCATAAGAGACAGAAGTATAAATAAGAAAGTCAGAATGCGGGCGCCTGGGTGGCTCAGATGGTTAAGCATCTGCCTTCGGCTCAGGTCATGATCCCGGGGTCCTGGGATCGAGTCCCGCATCGGGCTCCCTGCTCCTTGGGAGCCTGCTTCTCCCTCTGCTTCTCTCTCTCTCTCTCCGTCTCTCATGAATAAATAAATAAAATCTTAAAAAAAAAAAAAGAAAGTCAGAATGCTGGTTTTTGGAGAAAACTATTAGACCAGACACTTATGTTTCTTGACCGGGAAGTTCTCTCTCCTTGAAGGCAAATCTTAGCCTTTTCTGAAGCCAAGTTATAGCTAGAAGGATGTTGGTGAGCCAGAGCCCTAAAAAGCCCTGTCATTGGGCTCTGAGAATTTAAGAGAGTCCGTAACAGCGTACTTAATCTTTGGAAAATCTGATGAAAATTATCCCCTTTCCCGGGGCAGGGGTGGGGAGAGGAATGCTACAATAAATTGCCTTTATTGAAGACAATGTTTCCACATGTATCCATATGTATCTATGAAACATTTTATGAAACAACACAATGTACAGAGATTCTGATATTTTTGCATTCTAAAAAATTTTTCAGTTCTTGTTGGGATTCCTAAACTGATTTTACTGCCCCCCAGTTTGATCTCAAGTGTTCAATGACCCACCCTCTGATGAAGGATACACCTGTCCCAAGAACCAGTAATTCCAGTTTGTGGGTCAGGGCTCCCTTTCCCTCCATCTGAGACCAAACTTACTCAAGGCTCAACTCTCTGGACCGACCCACCTTTCCCCTTAGATATGTTAATACCCTCCTTGAGGTTAGCTCAAGGCCAGCCCTGGAGGGTCCCGAAGTGTCCTGAGGAGTTGGCTCTCAGCTAAGGGTGCCTATCTCCCTCAGGATCTGCCTGCTTGTTTAGTAGTTAAAGCTCTGAGTATAGTTCTTGGGCAGTGGGGCTGACCTTTGTCCCCCAATAGAGCTTTCAGCAGTTTTGTGAGCAGAGTAGATAAGACTGGACACAAATGATCCTTTTACAGGAAGCGAGGGTCCATCCACCTATTAAGAGAAGAATTTCTAGGGGCGCCTGGGTGGCTCAGTTGCTTAAGCATCTGCCTTTGGCCCGGGTCATGGTCCCAGGGTCCTGGGATCGAGCCCCACATCAGGCTCCCTGCTCGGCGGGAGGCCTGCTTCTCCCTCTCCCTCTGCTGTTCCCCCTGCTTGTGCTCTCTCTCTCTGTCAAATAAAATCTTAAAAAAAAAAAAAAGAGAGAGAAGAATTTCTAAAAGAGACGAGCTGGCATTGGGCCTGGCCTATGTGAGGTGGAAGAAATTGCACGTCCCAGAACAATCTATTCCCATGATTTGGCCTGGAAAATCCTTTTCTCGCCAAGCATGGGCTCCATCCCATCTAAGCCAGTCCTCCTCTCTGGGTTCCACTGAAACTGGTTTGTAGGTCTGCCAACCCCTCCTTCACCCCTGACCCGGGACTGTGACAGTCCACATCTCCGCCTTTGTCTCCTGGTAATGTGGATTTCCAGCACCCGGTATTTGTTGCCTCTTTATTTATGTCAGATTGTGAGGTATTTCAGACTGCCGCCACGTTTGCACTGCCGAGAGGCACCAGTAGTGATAATCGTGCTTGTTGATGGTGGTCCTCAAACTTGGCTATTCATATGAATAATCTGGAGGTGCTCTTTAAAATTCGTGTTTGGGCCCCACCTTCCAGGATTCTAATTCTGTGCTCTTGGGTAGGGTCAGGAAGCTGCAAAATTAACTAGCCTCTTCCCCTCCTCCCAGTGATTCTAATGCAGATGGTCTGACCCAGACCACACTTGGAGCGAGGGCCTTCTGCACCTTGACCTTTCCAAAGCACTTGAGCTGCGTAGCAAGCTTGCGTTTTACCGACGTGGAAACTCAGGCTTGGGAAGGTCAGAGAGCTCAGCCAAGATCACATTGGTGGTAAGGACTGGATAGAGGCCAGGGTGCTGGATTTTATGAGGATTGAGGCAGCCATGCTTGATCAATCTCAAAAGGAGCTGCTGGAGAGGGCATCCGGCTTCGAGTCTCGTCCTTCCGGAGGGGAAAGACAGCCCCTAGGACTGGCTGAGCTGATGCTTCACCCAGAGTGGTGCCGGCCCCTACTGGGGGCCACTTCCTGTTGCACAATCCTGGCGGCTTTCTCGGTGTGGAGACTGGGGGAGGTAGCCCATCAATCCTGGCAGAGCCCTGGGCGCCTTAGGGGGCGGAGGGGAGAGGAGGCAGGGGGAAAACACAGAGGCTTTGGGTCTTGGTCGCTTTGAGGGCTTTGACTTTCATCTCGAGCCCGGAGGGGAAGCATTTAGGGAAGTTGCTGAGAAGCTGGAGGGAACGCAGTAGTCTCTGGTTCCAACCCTCCCCTTTTCCGGCGGGGCTCTTTACTTCTTACCCCGCCGAGGAGTGGGCTCTGGGGCATCCCACTTGGGGACCCCGCCTTGCTGCTTACCTCTTGTCCCGCTCGGCCCACCCCCCACCCCCCATGAAGGTGGAGGGCTGCTGGGATTTGGGATTCTGGAGAGGCTGAGGGGGATGGGATTTGACCATTTGTTCTGCTCTGACCCTGGAACAAAGGCCTCTTGCAATAGAGAGTCTGTGCCTTAATGCCCCCCATTAGCCAGAGTCGGGGAGCCATCAGCACATTAACAACTAAAAACCGACTGCACGGGAATTCTTTTGCTGAGCCGCACAACCTCCCCCTTCTTGCTTGTGGGGCTAATTCAGGGCCTGGGATGATGTTGATGGACTATCCTGGTTGCTCAGCCTCCTATTGTGTTACTAATGCTTGATAACAAAGGCTACTTGCCTTTAGCAACAGTTGCTAGGCGGGTCTTATCTCCCGGGCTCCAGTCCCTTCCCCCACGGCCAGAATCGGAGGCCCAGGCTGGGTCCGGCCAGTCTTCTAAGACCCCAGAGGATTATCAACAGGGGATTGCCCTGCTGGCACTTCCTGACAGGAGATCTTAGGAGAGAGACACGTCAGTGGCAGAGAGAACCCACGATGGTCGTTCCCAGACGTTTTCTTGGATGCTGTCACTTGTATAACCAACGCTCCCCGGGCTTCGCCTGCCCACTCCCAACACCAGGGTTTTTCCTGGATTCTTGGCAGATCCTCCATTGTAAATTCCACCTGGCTCGTTGCTGAAGTGACCATTGTCTGTTGTTACTGGTGTAACTGCGAGAATGCTGACAAGTGAGGTTGGGGGACCCTCTTAACTGCTCCCCTTATCCTACTATGCTGTAATCAAGCTGTTTAGTTGTCTGTCAAGTCCACAAAAATGGTAGCTCTTAGCCCTAGCTGTACATTGTACATTAGAATCACCTGGGGACATTAAATAAAAACACCCAGCTTCTACCCCAGAGATTCTGATTTAATTAGTCTGGGATGAGGCCCAGGCATCTCCCTCTCCCTAGGTGATTCTAATGTGCAGCCAGAGCTGAGACGCTGAGACCCCTACCTGCCACTGGAGTATAAGGGTAAAAGACAGGGGCTGCTGACAGGAGACACTCAGGGTCAGCAAGATTCTGTAACTCGGCAGACCCCTCAGCCCTCACTCCCACTGTGCAATAGGACTGAGTTTCTTGACCTTTCTCAGCTTCAAAATCCTCATTTGTAAAATGAGAACTACCTGATAGTGTGGTTTTGAAGATTAAAGGAGATTATGACATAAGGCTCTTGGCACTACCTGACACATAATAGAAGCTCAGTTAATGCACATTAAATGCATGGTGCTCGAGTGGCATTGCGAGTTAGAAATTGTGAGTCCTGGCTTCTGGTCTGATACAAACTAATTGTGTGACCTTGAGCAACTGTCTGCTTTCACATTTCCCTTCGGTTCCTTCCAGCTTCAAAACTCTATAATTCCATGATATAGACAATAAAACTTTGTGATCTTGTATAAATAGCCAACTTTATAGTTTCACAATTAAAAACTATAATGAAAATGGAGATAGTCTACATTGAATACAGTGTTTTCAACTCAAGGGGGTTTATTACATGGATATAGCAGCTTTTATTAAAGATTTATTTATTTATTTATTTATTTATTTATTTATTTATTTATTTATTTGACAGAGAGAGACACAGCAAGAGAGGGAACACAAGCAGGGGGAGCGGGAGAGGGAGAAGCAGGCTTCCCGCTGAGCGGGGAGCCCGATGCGGGGCTCGATCCCAGGACCTTGGGATCATGTCCTGAGCCGAAGGCAGACGCTTAACGCCTGAGCCACCCAGGCACCCCGGATATAGCAGCTTTTGTATCACATAGTCTTCGATAAATGACTGACACCACCTACTTGTACTTACTAATTGTTAAATTCTTAGATATTAACTCATCTTCCTAGGATAACTGCAGACTTTGAGTTGTTTTTCTACATCTGGTAATAATAAGATTGGTAATAAAACATTATTATTAATATTTATCATTTCTTTTTTATATGTTTTCATTTATCTTTTTAAGTAATCTCTACACCCAACGGGGGGCTCAAACTCATGACCCCGAGGTCAAGAGTCACAGGCTCTTCCAGCTGCACCAGCCAGGCGCCCCAATAGTTATCATTTCTGAGTGCTTTACAAATATTAACTCATTTGATCCTTGCAGTGACCCTGGGAGGTATGATTGACTGGGGCAGAACATACCTCCACTGGGAGCCAGAACCAGAAGGCTGCCAGGAACCCCCTAACCAGCTGAGAACTTTCCTTAAATGCCTGGCTTCACAGCAGTGTTCTAACCAGTAGTGGAGTGGCTGTGAGGCTGTGAGGAGTTGCAGGTCTCCCCGTGAAAAGGGTCTCTTGCTCCTTGAAATGGGGGTGCTCTTGACCGTTCAGATCCTATCCTAGGTGCCTCCACAAAGCCTGCAGTTTCTTGGCCAGGGGCCGGAGGCCCAGGAGCACAAGACAGGGGCAGCCCCGGTAGTGATTTACTAAGGCACCAAGAGACAGGACCCTGGCATCTGCAGCCCCAGGGGCCAGATTCCATCTTTGGGGGTCTCCATGCTATGGGAACTGGCAGTGGGATTAGAACTCTGCAAGCAGGAGTCGCAGATTCTCCTGCAGTAAGTACTGGAGTGACAGAATTGATGGTACTCTGGCCATATGCAAGCCACCATTTCGCCTCTGTGTCATTTGCATATCTGTACATACTTGCTTAATATGCCAAGGATCTTCCTTTAAGCAGAATTGTCATTTGTTGTTTTTTTTTAAAGGTTCTTTTGTTTCCCTTCTGTTCCGCTACCACTACTGTACTGGCCACCCCTCCCAATGTCCATCTATTCGTCCCTTCTCTAAAACATGCTGCCTGGGGCTTAGTACTTTTGAAACTGCTAGTGGACAGTGCTCTTCTTAAGTTAACGCTTTTTTTTTTTTTTTTAAGTTAACGCTTATTTGTGGAGCTCCTACCCTGCTGCTATAGGAGGGAAGGTGGGAAGATCCAAAGGAGCTGGACCCTACCGTCGGTTGTTTAGAATCCAGTCGGTGTGTCTGGGCAGGGGACTCAGTAATGACACAGCAGTCAAGGCCTGGGGAAGAATTCTGTTCTTCCCTTCTGCAAATCAGCTGCGGAATGCCAAGACAACTTCAAGTATCAATTCTGGGTTGCTTTAATGCATTGTTCTCAAACTTGGACACTCAAAAATTTTGGAGGATCCCAAAGGACTTTTGTTTATATGGATTATATCTACTATATCCTGTATAATCCAGCCTGTATTAGAAATTAAAACAGAAAATTTCAAAACACAAGACTACACAAGCACACAATGCATTATTTATTAGAGCAGTGTTTGTCACACATGATGCAACTTCTGGAAAATTCTGTATACTCATGAGAGAATGAAAATGAAAAAGACAAATAACATCTTAAAACCTTTATGAGGAGAGTTTATGATTTTGCAGACTGCCTGGAAAAGTCTAGGGGACCCATAGGGGTTCCTTACCACACGTTGAGTACTCCTGGGGTACAGGATATTGGTTCTTTTGGCATCAAAGATCTGAAGATTCTAGCAGAGTGCCTGGAAGTCTGCTGAAGCCTTGATCAGTGACAGGAATTCTCCTTTAAAAAATCCTTGGTAAAGTAGGAGAGGATGAAAGTAACTTTCCTTTACCCTCTTAAGGTTCTGTTTTGGGGGCCTGCAAATTAAACTGACAAAAGCCACATTAACAGGAGAAAAGGCAGGGGTGCCTGGGTGGCTCAGTCGGTTAAGCAGCTGCCTTCGCTCAGGTCATGATCCCAGGGTCCTGGGATCGAGCCCCGCATCGGGCTCCCTGCTCAGCGGGAAGCCTGCTTCTCCCTCTCCCTCTGCTTACTTGTGCGCTCTCTCTGTGTGTTAAATAAATAAATAAAAATCTTTAAAAAAAAAAAAATAGGAGAAAAGGCATACACATTGTATTTGATGTTAATATTTAATTTTTGGGTGCCTGGAGGCCTTTGTAGAAAAAAGTGAAGACCCAGAGAAGTGGGTAGGCCAGGTGCTTATACACTATTTTAACCAGTGGTGATAAATTATGGAGAAATGATGATACAAAGGAAAAGGGGTTTAGGTTTCTGGGGCAGTAAATTGTGGGGAGGGAAATATATGGGGGAAACTCATAGAAGATAAGGGTTACGTTACTAAGGTCTGCTTGTGCAGACCCGTGTCATTGCTGACCTTCTGCCTCCAGTGATAAGCTTTGTTCTCCTGGTGTGGAAGATGGAAGGGGGAGCACCTTCACGGACAGTTTATGTCCTGCTTGTAGGCAGATAGGAGGAGGGCAAAGAGCTCTGTCTGGTGTGTGCTGCTTAATTGCCTTCCACCCAAAATAATCCTTATGCAAAGGTAGCATATTTTAGGGTGGCATGTTCTAATCCCCTTCACTAAAAATAATAATAATAACTGACTATACTAGATACTGAGTTAGCAGTTTCTAAGATTCTCTCCTCTGGAAAGTTCTGGCAGCTTTAACGTTCAGTAAGCCTGAGCATGTCCACTCCTGGGCCAAGCAATCAGGGAAGACTCACCTGCCAGTACTGAGCCCCGTTGGTTGAGGCAGCCTTATGGGGGATCGCATGAGAGGCTAGACTTCAATGGGGCAGCAGCAAAGGAAACTGAAGAGCCAAGGCCAATGGGCCCAAGAGAAGGAGCTGGAAAGAGCTGCCCATTCATCCCACTTCCCCCAACCCAGCCTGCAGAACAGGACCCCTGGAGGTGAAAGAGCCACGAGGGTGCTCTGTGGGCCTGAGGAGAAGAGGGTGCTGGAGAGGCTGCCCCAGGACCCAAGGCAACACCTCCGGGGTGCAGCTAGGAGGGACAGGGGAGGCCCCCTGGGCTGGTGAGAGTGTGCAAGTGACTGGCGGGGAAATGAGAAGAGCTGCCTGCACCCAACCAGCTCCAGGATATAAGAGCTGACCCGAGGGAGGGAAAAGGATTTCTCTCCTTCAGGTGGTGACAGAGCTCACGGCTCCCATTCTGCCTCTCTGCCCTTCAGCCTCCGCTCCCTGACCCTGCAGCTCTGGCTCTGTGTGGGGCCGCTGCTCCCTACACAGGACTAGCAGTGCTTTAGCCAGGGGGGCTGGCGCAGAGCAGCCTCCTCAGGCCCAGGTTCAATGCCATCCCTCCCCGCCGAAAGCTTCTCTGACCCTATCCAGTTAAAAGGAACCCTCTTTTCCTTGGAGGTCCTGTAAACCTCTGTTTAGCACTTAATTCTTCCTGCTTTATATCGTAAACATGAATAGAGCCTGTCTCCGCTAAATCAGGAACTCCTTAAGGGCAGGCATCTTGTCTTACTAGCATTTGTCTACCCCTTCCAGGGCCTAGCCTGGTTCCTTGCACATGGCAGGTTTTTAAATGATGTTCATGGAAATAACATGCATATCATTTCTTCCCATCCTCCCTTGCCCCACAATCTCTTTGGAAACTCCTACATCCTGTCTTGAGCCTGAACTGCCACTTTGTGCAGGGCTGAGAGCTGACCCAGTAACAGGAGAGGGCAGAGGGAGCTGCAGAGGACGTGCCCACTCCAACCCTCCGGCCTCTCACGGTGGGCTTGGTGTGGCCCAACCTGCAAAGAGGGGACTTCTTTATACCTGTTCCTTCTCCTTTGCCTTAGCCACTGTCCGTTGCTGGCTCTTGTCACTGCCCCTAACCATGTCCACCTCAGGGGACATCCCACCTAGGGGTGGGAAAGTGGGGCGTTGAAGTGGGTCCTCTCCCCCGCTGACTGTTCTTCACTCATTACGCAAATACCTATTGAGCGTCTACCATGTGCCAGGCACTGTTCTAGGTGCGGGGACTCAGCAATGAATGAGACAGGCAGACAGCCAGCTTTGTGGTGTTCAAGAGCATTATCCCAGATAGGACTAGAACTTCCGATAAATGTCAGAGGCTGTTGAAGTCATTGGGCAAAGAAATTGCAAAGTCCAACATGGTTTTAGAGATTACTGGCAATGGGAATGAAGTTTCACTCAACTCTGATGTCTGATCATGACCATGCTTCCTTCTCAGGTGTATGAACTGAATGGGACCATCCATAGTCAAGAGTGGTCAGTGAGGACTTACAGAGAAGTGGCTTCTTTGTTTGCGAAAGAGCATCCCGGGTTTATTGGAATCAAACTCATTTATTCAGATCACAGGTGAGAGAGAATATGGCTGAAGCTGCAGGACTTGGGAGAATGGGTGGGATGCAGGCAGAGCCACTAGGAAGGGAGGGGAAGAGAGAGGGAGAGAGAGGGAGGCTGAGAGGCAGGCATCAGAGACCTACCCCCAGGGCCAAAGAGCCGTGGGCTCAGCGGGTACGTTCGCGCATGGGTGCGAAATCTACCTCTAAAGTCACTTCTAGTTCCAATCTTTGCAACTAAGCTGAAATGAAGAACTGTAGCAATTTTCCAGATAATTCTAGGCCCTGACCCATGTTGGCGTGGGTGACTCAGTTATGGATATGTTTTTGCCTGTATGTTCAGATAACTGGCTCATTTCCTTGTTTGAATTTGCCCCTGGGGTTCTGCCTAATGTGTGCTGTGGATGGCTGTGTGCAAGGCCTTGACTGCTGACCCGGCCGAGTGACAGCTATCTCAGAGTCCGTGTGTGGACACCCCACAGGATCACGTATGTGGGACCTGGTAGTGTGAACAAGGACCCACTCTTCCCTCAAACAAGCACAGAAAGCTTTATGGCTTAATTTTCCTTCTGATTGTATGAAAGGACAGCTCTCTCCTCTTGTCAAAGGGCAGCTAGTCTAAGGCCTGTGACCCGTCCACAGGGCTGGAGATGCGGGGGCAGCAGTCAGATGGGGATCGCACTGAGTCAGGGCTTGGCGGGGGGGAGGGGGGGGCGGGCAGCTCCTTCATTTGCTCAGTCTACCCTAGAGGCTGGACTCCGGAGGGCAGTCAGACTCCTCCCCGCCCCATCACCCCTGAATCCTCTTCCCTCCTTGTGAAGGCTCGGGAGGCCCCCACAGGAGCAGGGGTCCATTCCTGTGTGCTACGCAGCCGGGATGGAGCTGGAAGGCTGGGGCCCCACTGGTTCCCCTTAGAAGCTCCCTGGGACTCAGTGGCGGGAGGGTGTGCGGGCTGGGCTGCAGTTGGTCAGTGCTCCCTGTTCCCTTGGAGCTCTGCAGGAGAGGGTGTGGTATGGGGGAAGGGGGCAGGAGAAATTTAGGCCCCCAGAACTGAGGAACAGTGAGCCAGCTGCTGTGCAAAGACCTTTGTCCTGTCACAGAGTTGTAGCAGACTTTTCCCTTTGGTGCTTCTGTTGTCATGCTGTTTGCCTCATCCCTATCCCGGACTTGAACAGAGAGGGTACGGAGAGAAGACAGCTGGCTTGTATGGTTTCTGGAGTGCCCAGAGCCTTACTGATTGAATGGGGGGCAGAGGACATAGCGTTGCCAGGCCCAGCTGACCTAACAGGGACCTGGGTGATCTGCTGCATTCCCTAGGTGCCCAGTGACCAGAGAGCTGGGCTCTGTACTGCACCCACTTCCGGGAGCCACCTTCTCAGGGATGCAGGGCAAGTTTTGGACGAGGCCTCTTTGCTTCATCCAAATGTAGATAAATGATGCGTATCCCATGGGTCGCCCTTCCTCACTTGTTTTCAGACACTGTGGGTCCTTCTGGAGCCAGCCAGAGTCCTCGATAGGGTTGGATTTGGGCGAAACAGCTCGCAGATGTAGCCACTGGTAGGGATCACAAGAGCCTGGGCAGGCTGGGGTCATGTGGGCAGTGGGGAGGGGCTGCTGAGGACCCTGGCCTGGCCCCAGGTGCTGGCGGAGCCACTCCAGGGTACACAGCACCACCGACACCAAGTCACGCTGTCGCCCCTGCTTCTCTCTGTCTCTCTCACAGAATAAAAAATGTGTCCTTCATCGTGAAATCCGTCCAAACAGCCATGATGCTTCGAGCCATGTTCCCCAGGATGGTGGCAGGGTTTGACCTGGTAACGACTATGCACGACGAAGCTGTCTGAGAGGGGGGTCCCCCAGGCAGCTCCTCCTGAAGGCCTTGGCGGCTCCCACGGAAACCCTCTGCAGAGGCGCGGGCCTGGCCAGGGTTTAGCGGTGGCCTTCTCTGGGGGCTTGCAGGAGGATGGCAGTCATAAGAGAAAGGGGCGCAGAAAGGGCCAGAAGGCTGAAAGGGGGAGTTCCAGAATAAGGAGAATTCAAGGAGGTTGGGCAGTAATGGTGGGCTTACTCCCATTCCCCTGCCCTCCACCCTTTTTCTAGCCCACGATGCCCACCCACAGCTGGCTCTTAAAACTGTAGCACACGGCGGGGGGGGGGGGCAGGGGTTGTGTGTCCTGGAAGCAGAGATGGGGCTAATCCTGGGCAAAACTGTCCCCTGCCCCTCCACCAAATCAAAGCCAGCCAGGGCACACTTCCCAGATGACAGCTCATCAATCGCATTAAGGAAGCTAAATTAATTTGAACTAACTGGCTGAAAGGCACTCCTGACTCCCTTTTATAGAATCTGTACATTTTACCTGAGTCTGTGCTTAAGCTCTTATTTTCAGACCATCCAGAGCTCAAAGGAGTAGATTTCAAAGACTCACTTTGTTTGCACCTGGGATGCCCTCCTAGGATCCCTGGGGGTTGCTCAAAGGGTCTAGCCTCTCCTGAAAGGGGCAGAAGGCCCCCTCATCCCACCTTTTCTGTTTGTGTGCAGCACTGACAAAGGGGGCTGAGAAGGAACGCCTCTAGTATAGAGCTTCCAGAACAGTCCCCACAAGGACTGTGATGGACAAGTCCCGAGGGAAATTGGGGTTGGAAGTGGGATAGGCAGTTGTTCAAAGGGGTCTACTCACAAGCTCCAACTCTCTTTCAAGCCTGCACTCCATTCTACTACATTGAATATCCATATTTGGCTCATAATAAAAATGTGTCATTGTCTGCCCCCACCCCCAACAAATTAAAATAGGCATTCTGAAGGAGGTACCTTTTTATCCTAAGGCACTCTTACTCTTGGCACACAGCTACAAAGCCCTGGGGGTATGTGTGGTTTAGTTTGAAAAGCATAATTTTGTTGTAGTGACCGCTGAGGCATGGACAAAGCAGATGGCTCCATATCCTCTCCTCTGTGTCCTGCAGGTGGGGCGTGAGGACACTGGCCACTCCTTGTATGACTACAGGGAGGCTTTGATGATTCCCACCTTGCATGGCGTTAAACTGCCTTACTTTTTCCATGCTGGAGAGACAGGTGAGCCATATGGAGACAAGCAGGACAGAGGAGGTGATCGATAGGAGGGCTCCTCCTCATCATTCAAGAGAACTGATAGGATCCTGGGGCAGTATTGAAACTGTTGATAGTCCTTTTATGGCATTATTTCACTTAATCCTGATGGCAACCCTTGGAGAAGGAATAACAATGATAATAACAGTATCTGGCACTTTACATATTTCTTTCTTTTTTTTTTTTTAAGATTTTATTTATCTGTTTGACAGAGAGAGAGCACAGGCAGGGAGAACAGCAGGCAGAGGGAGAGGGAGAGGGAGAAGCAAACCCCCTGCAGGGAGCAGGGAGCCTGACGCGGGACTCCATCCCAGGACCCTGGGATCATGACCTGAGCCAAAGGCAGACGCTTAACCTACTGAGCCATCCAGGCACCCCACATATGTTATTTCTAATTCTCACCCCAGTCCTGCTAGGAAGGTGTTTTTATCCCTACTTTATTTTATTTAAAAGATTTATTTATTTATTTGGCGGGAGGGGCAGAGGGAGAGAGAATCTCAAGTTGACTCCCCGCTGAATGTGGAGCTGGACACCAGGCTCAATCTCAAGACCCTGAGATCATGACCTGGGCTGAAATCAAGAGTTGGATGCTTACCCAACTGAGCCACCCGGGTGCCCTTCTTCCCATTTTATAGTTGAAGAGCCCAAGTCTCCAAACATAGAGTGGTTAGTCCAAGCGCAAGGAGCTAGTCATTAGTGGAGCTTGAATTTGAGCCCTTTCTGATGATCTCCATTTTATAATGAGCAAATTGTACTTAAGAGATTAATTCACCTGTCCAAAGTCATACACGGGTTAAGTGGCAGAAGAGGGACTAGAACCGGGACTGCTCTAACAGCTAGGAGGCTCTGTCCACACTCACCAGGTGCTGAAGAGGAGACCCCACCCAGCTCAAGCAGACCCGCTGCTATTGTTTCTGAAATGCCATTAGCCTAGCCACATCTTTGTTCCCCAAAGCTCACTCCACAGGCTCATGGGTCATCTCTCAGACCTTCTCATATTACAGTCCTTAAAATGTGTAAACCTTAAGCAAAAGGAGTCCCAGATCATGGCTGCAATTTCAGGTCAAAATGAAGATAACCAGGAAGAAAGCTTGCTGCTGCATCCCACCAGGTGTCCGAGTACCTTAGGTACCTGTCATCCTTAGAAGACCAAGGAGATCAGTGAAGAGCAGTGGGGGTTTGAATTTCACAACCAGGTTCAAACCATCTCTCAGAGGAAGGGTCCATGTACATTAATCTCTTTTTCCTGACATTTCAAGTCATTTTGGGTCCAGTTTAGATCAAAGTTGTTCTAGGAGATTTGAAGAATTGTTTTTGGGGGATGGGATTAAGGGGGTAGGGGTTGTTAACCTTGAAGACCTTGTGGTCTAGTTGGAAAAATCATACTTACCTGTGTGAAATCATTTCAACAGTATGAAACACTGTAACAGGATCTAACCACATTCTAAGATGCATGGCCCTAGGAGAGGATTTTGCCAGGAGGTGGGTATTTAATACCCAAGAGTCATGTTCTTATTTTTAAAAAGGAAGAGGGGTGCCTGGGTGGCTCAATCAACCGATTAAGCGTCTGCCTTCAGCTCAGGTCATGATCCAGGGTCCTGGGATCAAGCCTCATTTTGGGCTCCCCGCTCAGCAGGAGTCTGCTTCTTGCTCTCCCTCTGCCACTCCCCCTGCTCGTGTGTTCTCTCTCTCTCTCAAATAAATAAAATCCTTAAATAAAATAAAAAGGAAGATATCTGGGGTGCCTGGATGGCTCAGTCAGTTAAGTGTCTGCCTTTGGCTCAGGTCATGATCCTGGAGTCCCAGGATCGAGTCCTGCCTCGGGCTCCCTGCTCAGTGGGCAGGGAGTCTGCTTTTCTCTCTCCCTCTGTTCCTCCCCCTGCTCATGCTCACTCTCTCTCTCAAATAAATAAATAAAATCTTAAATAAATAGGAAGAGATCTTTGAAAAGAAAGTTCTAGATTGGAAACCAGTGAAAATCTACCTGAAACACATACCATAACCAGCAGTGGGAATTCTGGGGTTTTATTCCTAGCAGAAAAGGGAATTTTCATGCTTTACATGTAGATCAGTTAGGATGCTTTTGGCTGCCAGGAATGGAATACGCACATTTAATAGGTTTTTTTTTTTTTTAAGATTTTATTTATTTATTTGACAGAGAGAAAGACAGCGAGAGAGGGAATACAAGCAGGGGGAATGGGAGAGGGAGAAGCAGGCTTCCTGCGGAGCAGGGAGCCTGATGCGGGGCTCAGTCCCAGGACCCCTAGATCATAACCTGAGCAGAAGGCAGACGCTTAAGTGACTGAGCCACCCAGGTGCCCCAAGATCATCTATTATTTTACATAATAAGTGACCTCTGCTGTCCTCATCAAGTCGAGGGTTTCACCTTATTTGGTTGTCAGGTAGTCAAATTACATTCAGGTATAACCAATCCAGTGAAGCAAAAGACAAGATATGTCCTCCAGGGCATCTCCTTTTATCAGGAAGGAAGCCAAAGAGCTCCCCACAAATAACCTTCCAGGCCAGCATTAGGACCATCCTAGCTGCAAGGGAAGCTGGGAGAGCCAGGACCTGTTATTTTCACCCTCCAAAGAACATCTTGCCAGCAAGGAAGATACAGTGGGGGTGGCTGGTAAATAGGCAGCCAACAGTATCTGCCACCACTTTGTGCTGGTCATTGTGATCTTGCAATTGATGTTGCAATTGATATTGTTGAAGATATAAATTGAGTAAGTACACACAAGTAATTATATTGAGAGAGTTTGCAACACACTATTGTAAAAATAATAAACAAAATTCCCAGAAAATAGCTCTGGAAACAAACAAAAAATGGAAAGAAAGAATATAGACTGTGGAGTCAGATAGACCAAGATTTGAAACCCAGTCTTACTACTTAACTGAATATGTTCCTTCAATTTATAAAGCCTGTATAAGTTTCAACTTCTTCATCTGTTACATACATACATACATAAAATAAAGTCTTGCCATACCTTTCGTTAGTATTGTTACAAGGAAAATGTGTATGTGTGTGAATGTTTGTGTGTGAATGTTCTTTGATCTGGAGCCTTTATCTGAGGATGGTCTATGGGCCAGATCCACCTGATTGAAGACTATCCCTTTTTCCCCAGACTGGCAGGGTACTTCCATAGACAGAAACCTTCTGGATGCTCTACTACTGAACTCTACCAGGATTGGCCATGGATTTGCTTTGACCAAACACCCAGCAGTCTGGGCTGACTCCTGGAAGAAGAACATCCCCATAGAAGTCTGTCCCATCTCCAACCAGGTATGTGTGATCCATGCAACCAACCCTCCAATCTCAACCTCTGTTCTGATTTCCCAAACTTTTTCCTGTATAATTTCTTTTTTTTTTTTAAAGATTTTTTATTTATTTGACAGAGAGAGACACAGCGAGAGAGGGAACACAAGCAAGGAGAGTGGGAGGGGGAGAAGCAGGCTTCCCGCCCAGCAGGGAGCCCGATGCGGGGCTGGATCCCAGGACCCTGGGATCATGACCTGAGCCGAAGGCAGACGCTTAACTACTGAGCCACCCAGGCACCCTCCTGTATAATTTCTTGCTCTTTAGCTCACTTGTTTTCTATATTCCTCCACTGTCTCACTCCCATTAGTAATTATTCAGGAATGGCCCCTTGCCTAGCCCATTCATAACAATGAGGCAGCAGTGAGGGTCCCCAGTGGGGTAGAATTTGGGGCAAAGCTATAGACAAAGCTAAAGGGACAGTGAGGAAGACCAGTGGAGTGGGAGGGGCCATTGGATACTGCTGTTCCCACAGATGCTTGGGGTTCTTTGTGCACCTGCCTGTCTTGCTGTGTTCAGGAGAGCTGCTCTGAGCTGGACCAAGAGAGAGACCAAATGTTTGTGGTCGTGAAGAAACTTGGAGAAAATTAGGAAGAGCACAGGACTGGCTCTATTCCTGTGTTGTACCCAGAAGTCATCCTAATGTTCAGTGGTGATGAGGATAAGAAAGGAGCTGGTTGGGCACCTGTGTGGCTCAGTCATTAAGTGTCTGCCTTCAGCTCAGATCATGATCTCAGGGTCCTGGGATCGAGTCCCATATCGGGCTCCCTGCTCCGCAGGAAGCCTGCTTCTCCCTCTCCCACTCCCCTTGCTTTTGTGTTCCCTCTCTCACTGTGTCTCTCCCTGTCAAATAAATAAATGAAATCTTTTTTTTTTTTAAAAAAAGGAGCTGGTTATGCTCATGGTCTCGCCTCTCTTATGACAACTCTTTTTATGGGTCAAAGTTTGTCTTTCTCCTTTGCCTCTTATTGGCAGGTTCTGAAACTGGTGTCGGACTTGAGAAACCACCCTGCCGCTGTTCTGATGGCCACTGGGTACCCCATGGTGATCAGCTCTGATGACCCAGCTGTCTTTGGTGCCAAAGGCTTATCCTATGATTTCTATGAGGCCTTCATGGGCATTGGGGGAATGGCGGCCGATCTGAGGACACTCAAACAGCTGGCCATGAACTCTATCAAGTGAGTATCCTGTGTACTTCCCAGATCCCCAACTCCTTCTTCCACCCCACAACTTGTGTTTATCTCTCTTAGAGTTTTGGGGCAGAAACCTGGAAGGTTTCTGTGTGTTTTCTCCACCTCGCCTCAGTTTCATTATTGCTCTTGGACTGGGGAGCAATGTGCCCTGCAAGCATCTGAGATCCCCTCAACCTGTTCCCCAACCCTTTCTCCTGACCTGGTTGCCTTTTCTCCTGCAGGTTCAGCACCTTGTTGGATATTGATAAAAAGGCTGCCATGAAAACCTGGGAGGAGAGATGGAATATGTTTGTAGCCGACCTGGCAAGGAGGCCAAAGTGAGAAGCGAGCCGTTTATTACCCTAGTCCTCTGCTCCCCTCTGCAAGCTGTTCTCACCTTCCATCAATAATGCTTGAACCCACTCCAGTGTAGTTGCTACCTCCATTTCTTCATCAGAACTAACCTCATGAAGGTCATCAATGGCCTCCACGTTGCTTGACCTCTCAGAAACACTTCCACAGTCTACCAAAGTCATCTTTTTTGAAATATCCTTTTCTCTCAACCTCAGTGACATCAACTCTTTTGGTTTCCTCCTTTCTCTCTGGCCATTGCTTCCGGGGTGCCTTTTCCAGATGGTCTTCTCTATCAGATCTCTGCGTTGCATTTCCTCAGGGCTTAGTTTTGCCTTTCCTCTGTTCGTGTCTCTGCTTCTCTCCTCTTCTTTTCTCTCTCACTCTATAGTCTTTTCCTAGGTAGTCTCATCCACTCCTTTGCTTTTAAATACCATTTATTTGCTGATGATTACCAATTTATTTATTCATTTGGAAGGTTCACAGGAATCTCAAAACCTACTATGTGCAATTCTGAACTCTCAATCTCTTCCCTTTCAACCTTTTCCTGATCTTTCTCATCTTGGTAAATGGCATCTCCATCCATTCCACCCAGTTGCTCTACGTAGAATTTTTCAGTGAAATTCTTGATACTGCTCTCTCTCCTGTTCCCTACATCAAAATGTATCTTGAATCCTCCATGCTCTCTATCTGTATTGCTGTTGGCTGAGTTCAAGCCACTATCACTTCTTGTTTGAGTTACAATAGCCTCTTAATTGATCTCTCCTTTCTTCTCTTTGCCTTCTTCATTTCATTTTTCACAGAGCAATGACTTTTCAGAAATTAAATCAGGTTACTAATGGCTTACAACTCAGTGCACTTAGAAAAACCCAAATGTTTCAATAGGGCATATAGCATCTTCTTTAACCTGGATCCCTTCCAGCATCATTCTACCCCGGTCTCCTCTAGTGTACCAGATTCTGGCCACACTGGTCCTTTGTTTCTCAAATATCCCAAACTCTATACTGCATCAGAGCCTTTTTCTCATTCTCTCTGCCTGGGATAGTCTTTCTTTCCACTTTTGTCTAACTGACTCCTGTTTACCCTTCAGGTTTCACCTTTAATGTCACTGTCTCAGAAGTTTCCTAGACCCCTAACCTGTTAATATCACTCATGGCACCTTGCTTTTTTCCTTCATGACTCTTATCATAATTTGAATTATATATTTATTTCTCTGTTTATGGTCTCCCTCCACCAGAATGTAAGGTCCATGTGGGCAGCTACTAATGATTGTTTCCTGTACACTGTGAACCCAGAGCCTAACTCCATGCCCCAAACCTAGTCAGTACTCAATAAAAGATATGTTAAATGAATGGATATAATATTGAGCTGGTTGCTGAAGCAGGAGGGAACACAGCAGAGTCTCCCCAAAGAAAAGACCTCATGTGATCCAATTCTGGCTGCTAGCCTGGTCTTCAGGAAAAGGAAGGCAAGAAGCTAGCCCTGTCTTTATTTGACTAAAGGAAGAGAAGGAGGATCAAAGAATTCCTTAGAAGTTGTAGGTGGATTCAAGTGTCTTCTCATCCATCACCCATCACCTGCACCTGAGCTCAAAGGCAGCAGCCAACACTCTTATCCGTTAGTAGTTTATCACTGTTTGGGTCATGACACTGGAAAAAGTCTTGCTGATTAGGTGTCCTCAACCACAGGCTGGCACACAGATGGAACAGTCTCTGATTTATTGCCTTAGCCAATCCCAGGAGATAGTACATAGGTCCCAGCTCAGCTGACTTATATTTAATAAATGGTGAAAATGGAACTTAGCAGAATGGACTTCTGTAGCAAGTTGTCATGACTACAGGGGTCTCCCAGGAGTGTAAGGTCTCTGACCTGGACTTGGTGTGATCTCTGATTTGGCAAATTAAACCAGCTACTAGTCTTGTCTTCATGCCTGGTTCAATAGGCTGAGACCTAGCAGAGAACTAGAAACATCAATAGAACCAGATGTTAAGTTAGGAAGATCTGGGAAGCAGGTTGTAGCCCCCTTGGAACTAAGTAATATTTCTGCCAGGAGTTGAGTCGTTAAATCTGATTTCACTTATTCCTCTTGTAGGACTTCCCAGAAGGTACCCTGACATATGTTTTTTGGGAAAACTTGTGTGTTAATTGAATTTTTGTAAATGAAATCATGCTGCACCTGGGGCCTTGCTATTTATTTAAAGGAAATCTGAAGCAAAGCCTTCTGTTAAAACATATTTTGTAATTTGAATTATGTAGTCTATATTTATTTATTTATTGGAATAAGGTTAAATGCTTTTTCCTTCTTTGTCAGGTGAATTGTCTGGTCTGGAAAATCCTAATGGCCAGGGACACGAAGAGTCCCTGACTTGCCAGGCTTATTGTACAAGTCCCCATTATCTGGCCCATGATGAATGCCCTGGTCCAGCCCCCTCCTCCTGGGTCCTGGAGCTTTTCATCAGTTGGCACAGCTCCCAGGGAAGGGCAGGGAGACTTCTCAAAATTCAAACTGAGGGAATGTTGTTGGAGATGCAAATCATTCTGTTTCCCAGCAGGTGAGAATTTGGGATCCAGCCTTAGGGAAAACCATGGAACATATTTCTTTTTATCTTGAAATAATGTGAAACCTTCAGAAAAGTCTCAAGAATAGTACAAAGAACTCTAACATACTCCTTGTCTAGGTTCCCCAATTATTGACATTTTACAACATTTGCTATACCCTTCTCTGTGTATATATATATCTGTATCTCTTTCAGTGTCTGCATAATAGATCCTATTTTTTCTAACCAATTGAGACTTAAGATACCATTATGACCCATTACTCGTAAACACCGCAGTGCACATTTACAAAAGACGGGGTCATTCTCCTGTGTAATCACAGTATAACCACCCAAAGCAGGAAATTAACATTGATAAGATACTACCATCTGGCCCTGGCACTTCCAGGCATATTTCTTTTCTGTCTCAGAACCCAACCCAGGATCACATATTGCAGTTAGTTATACTCTCTCTTGTGTCTCTCACTGTGGAACAGTTCTTCAGTCTTTCCTTGTCTTTTGTGACCTTGACCTTTTTGAAAAGTACAAAAAATTATTTGGTAGAGTATGTTTTATTTCAGGTCTGTGTAATGATTCCTTGTGAAGAGATTCCAATTTATACATTTTCAGGACGAAGGCCTCAGAAGTGACGCTTTGTCCTTCTCAGTGCATCACATCTGGGGGCACATGCATCAGGGCCTGCTGGAGGTGGTCTGCACCAGCAAGCAACAAACAGCTGCTGAAATTTCAGCCTGTTGTGAAACCAACAGTGGTCTGAAATTGATCTTTGTGCGAGTTTTTTTTATAACTTTTTTTTTAATGTAAGCTCTATCTATTACTAGGGTTCATGGATTCTGATTCTATTCAATGGACTATACTTGAACGCTATGGTTATTTCTTGCTTTTAAGATGCTCCCACTGTTCCAGATTTGGCCATGGGAACTCTGTTAAATTGGCTCCTGTGACTCTGATAAATTCTTTTTTTTAAAGATTTTATTTATTTATTTGACAGAGAGAGACACAGCGAGAGAGGGAACACAGGCAGGGAGAGTGGGAGAGAGAGAAGCAGGCTTCCCGCTGAGCCAGGAGTTCGATGTGGGGCTTGTTCCCAGGACCCTGGGATCACAACCTGAGCCGAAGGCAGACGCCCAACGACTGAGCCACCCAGGTGCCCCGACTCTGATAAATTCTTATAATTTTTTGAGAACTTACTTTTTTTTTAAGATTTTATTTATTTATTTGAGAGAGAGAATGAGAGATAGAGAGAGCATGAGAGAGGAGAGGATCAGAGGGAGAAGGAGACTCCCTGCTGAGCAGGGAGCCTGATGCGGGACTCGATCGTGGGACTCCAGGCTCATGACCTGAGCCGAAGGCAGTCGCTTAACCAACTGAGCCACCCAGGCGCCCAAAGTATTTTATATATTTATTTATTTGACAGAGAGAGAGAGAGACGGTGTGAGAGGGAACACAAGCAGGGGGAGCGGGAGAGGGAGAAGCAGGCTTCCCGCCAAGCAGGGAGCCCGATGCGGGGCTCCATCCTGGGACCCTGGGATCATGACCTGAGCTGAAGGCAGAGGCTTAATGACTGAGCCACCCAGGCGCCCCTGAGAACTTCCTTATTTTTTGACACAATTAAATATTCTAGCTTCATTTTGTACTTTCCTTGTCTCATACTGGACATGAGCTCTTCTCCCAAAGAACTTTGGTTCCTTTTAGTAGAGAATATTTAGAAACCTTGACCTGAGCATTAAATGTGCTGATTAGATGTGCTGATCTTGGGAAAGGGGACATTCTGGGAGTCTGGACATTTGCTATAACCTTCTCTCTGTATATCTGTATATAAATATAAATATAATTTATATATGTGCATATGTAACTATAATTTATATTGTTAAAAAGAAATCCACACTCCCAAAATGGTGTCACTTAAGCCAAGTTACCAAACCGGGGCTTAATACCTAACCTAACTGCAGTTTCAACTTCCCTCAGAAATGTAAGTCTTAACTGGTCAGTCAGGAATTTTCCGATCAGTACCAATGAGATAATCTACCACATGGGCCCTCTCCATCCCCCAAAGATGAGGTAATCCACCTAATAAGAGCCCATGCCCTTCACCATAAGGGGAGATGACCTTGCCTGGACCGATCTTTTCTTTTGCTAATAACTTCTTGCCCCACTGTCTTTCCTATAAAAACCTTCCATTTTATACAGCTCCTCAGAGTTCCCCTCTACTTGCTAGATGGGATGCTGCCTGATTCTGTGAGTCAATTAATAAAGCCAATTAGATCTTCATATTTACTCAGTTGAATTTTTGCTTATTAACAGTATATATTAAAACACACACATATGTTTATACATATACATTTACATCTATTTCCAAATTTATCTATGTATATTAAAAAACCATGAGTTTGCAGGGTGCCTGGTTGACTCAGTTGGTGGAGCCTGTGACTCTTG